GGAAACGAAGGTGAACGAACGGCGCGCGAAGGTGGCCCGAGGCTCGACGGAAAGCTTCGTCTCGCAGAAAAGAGGAGCAGCGGCGTCTCGATCGTCGAAAGCGATTGCTGCGTTCAGAGATCGCCGGTAGCGGGCCGCTGAACTTCGTCGGAGGAACTCGCAGCGAAAGGGAGAGGGGCAGCAAGGGTCGCAGCGGATACTGGTGCTCGACGAGATGAAGGTCCGCCGGAAGGGAGGATGCTACACAGCGTTGATGATCGCTGCTAGGACGCTCGCGGCTTGCTGTCGCGAATGGAGGAGGGTTCACGGAAGAGGGCAGCTCGTGCGGTGGACAACTCGCCGACGAGAGGGGCTCGCTGCGGAGAAGCAGTCGGTCGCCGCTATCAGCGGGGTCATCAGAGGTGTCGTCGGAGAGGGTGGCTGGGGTCGGGGATGTCTCTGCTCGCAGAGGATGAGAGCTGTGACGGCGGAGAGTGGCTCGCCGCCAGGCTCCCTCCGCGAATCAGGGGTGTTGATGGCCTCGCGGCAGTTGCTGAGCTCGCCGGAAGGGGCTGGTCGCGGCGGTCCTGGTCGTGGCGAGGACTTCACGGTGTGAAGAGCAGATCGACGATGATGGCGGTGATCGAAAATTCTGCTCGCGCGACGAGGGGATGAAGCAAGGAGGATGGTGGAGATGGCGATCGGATTTGCTGAGGGCAGATAATGGCTTCCGCGATCGGAATTTGCAGAGAAAGGGCGAGGGATTGACGATGAGGGTTATCAGATTTTGAGATCGAAAGACTTCTCTGCTCCGCTCAAAGTCGCAATGAGAGGAAACAGAAATAAGGAAAAAGGCTGCGGGAATTATTATTCTCTCTATTGAGCGAGATAGAATAACGCTAGGGTAAATATCTTGTAGCCCCAGACACACACCAAGACACAATGGGGCGGGCCGGTTTTGGGTCGAGCTGGTTCGGGGTTGGCTCGATAACACGGTTCGGCTCTCGGACCGGACTACGTAGCATTAAATCGGTTTTCTCGGGCTCAATTAAATCGCACCAATAAATAAACCGGCTATATATATATTTAAAATACACGTAATTAAAACTTTTAAAATAATAATAATATTTGTAAAAATACAAATACACAATTTAATAATTTATAATAATAGCATTTAGACATTTAATTACAAACTGGCAATTTAACGACATTTAAACAATTAGGCAATTAAAAAATATTTAGACAATTAAGCAATTTCACAATTAAATCATATTAGACATTTAATAATTTTAGCATTCAATTAATAATACTAATAATAACAAATAAAGATAAATAATAATAATATATAATAATAAATAATCATCAAATATTCCATATTCAAACCGGGCATTACAATCTATTCACGCGATTAAACCAAAATCGCCGAACGACGAATGTTTTTCAATAAAAACAATCGAGTATTCCAATCTTTTATTTAAGTCGACATCGCGACCAATAAAATAAATATAACCGTATAAATAATATTCGATAAATAGAATATTCCGAGAAATTCTATAAATCGAACGGGGCGTTACACCACTTGTCCTAGCCCATGTGTATTCTCGAATATATTCCCTTTTTATCCATTAAAATCGGTCTAGTATAATATCCTATATCATCTAGTCCCCCTCCCCCCCTTCCCCTCCTCTTTGGTCAAGTAAGCATGACTCGATCCAAGAGTGAAATTCCTCTTCGGGCTGCTTCCATCAACTTACCACTGAGGTTAAAATTTGAATAAATCCTCGACCAACAAAAATAGTCACAAAACCTCCTGTTTATATGCGAAATTTAATTAGCGTAAATGTATTTGTATATATTGAATTTATGTGTAATTGAATGAAAAATTAAGGAAAATTTTGAAGAAAAAGAAGATGAGAATTTAAAGCAAGAACGGCGCCGCCTTAAGCTCTTGATAAGGAAAAGAAACAAGATAAGAAATGGCCCCTCAGACTCTTCGATCCTCTTTTTTTGTATCCATCATAGGGGCTTCTATATTCATTTTAAGTGGGATCATTATTATCACACATGGATATATTTTTCTCTTTTTGGGCGTTATTAAGATAAAAATAAGAAATTTAATAATTCATATCCACGTGTAACATTTTTATTAGTCGATGCCAAATTGGGTATCAACACCTCCAATTCAGCATCGGGACCCAAATGAACACCGAATGGCCACTAAGGTCGAAAACCGAAAGATATGCCTCTGAGGTCGAACACCGAAAGACTTACCACTGAGGTCGAAAATTGAATGTCCTACCACCGAGGTCGAAAATCGAGTGACCCGCCACTGGGATCGAACACCGAAAGCCGAATGACCACTGAGGTCGAAAGTCGAGTGACCCGCCACTGGAGTCGAACACCGAAAGCCAAATGACCATTGAGGTAAAAAATCGAGTGACCCGCCACTGGAGTCAAACACCGAAAGTCGAGTGACCCGCCAATGGGGTCGAAATCAAATGACCACTGAGGTTGAATATCGAGTGACCCGCCACGGGGGTCGAAAACCGAAAGGCGAATGACCACTGAGGTCGAAAATCGAGTGACCCACCACTGGGGTCGAAAATCGAAAACGAACGACCACTGAGGTAGAAAATTGAGTGGCCCGCCACTGAGGTCGAACTTTGATTCCTAGAGTAGATGCCTTTGCTCCTCAGTTTGCAATGTCGACCTTCCTTTGGTGTCTCTCGACATCCGTACTTGGACTTCCATGATACTCTAATAGATTTTCTCGATCTCTCTCCGAAGTCTTGAATTTGAAATTTGAACTCAAGCCTGCTGTTTCTCGACCACAATGTTTGAGCTCTCTTCACTCAAAGATAAATCTTTTCTACCACCCCGTTCTATCATCGCCCCTCGGTTCAAAAGTTGAACTCACGTCTGTTGTTTCTTGACCACAATGTTCGAGCTCTCTTCACTCAAGGATAAACCTTTTTTACCACCTCGTCCTATCATCGCCCCTCAGTTTAAAATTTGAAAATCAACCCTGTTGTTTATCCTCTCGAAAACCGAACGTCTTGACGCCACACTGCAGTCTTAAGTCGAATTCAACAAAACCAAATAAAACCATCGACCTGAATAATAAACCATCGATATGCCACTGAGGTCCTCCGAATGAACTCCATCGACCTGCCACTGAGGTCGAAAAATAAATTCGACAAAACCAAACTTAGGTAAAAACCATCGACTTGCCACTGATGTCCTCGAATAATCTCCCTGAATTGTACCAAATGAACTCCATCGACCTGCCACTGAGGTCGAAAAACAAATTCGACAGAACCAAAATTAAATAAAAATCATCAATCTGTCACCGAAAACTCGAATAATCTCTATGAAATGCATCAAAAGAACTCCATCGACCTGCCACTGAGGTCGCAAAATAAATTTTACAAGCCCAAAATCAAGTAAAGATCATTTCCCTGCCACCGAGGTATGCAAATAAACTCCTTGAATTGCTCCGAATAATCTCCATCGACCTACCACTGAGGTCGAAAAATAAATTCGACAAATCCAAAATTAAGTAAAGATCATCGACCTGCCACCGAGGTCTGCAAATAAACTCCTTGAATTGCTCCAAGTGAACTCCCTCAACCTGCCGCTAAGGTCGAAAAATAAATTCGACAAAATCCAAAATCGAGTAAAAATCATCAATCTGAATAACTGGACTTCGTGAACTACTTCGAGTGAACTCTATTAACCTGCCGCTGAGGTTGAAAAATAAATTTGACAAAACGAGTCAAGTAAATACCATTGATCTGCTCGAGCTACCTGTAATGAACTCCGACCTGCCACTGAAGTCGAAAAATAAATTCAAGAAAACCAAGCCAAATTAAAATCATTGACCTGCCACCGATATCTGCAAATAAACTCCGTGAATTGCTCCAAATGAACTCCCTCGACCTGCCACTGAGGTCGAAAAATAAGTTCGACATAATCCACAATCAAGTAAAAAACATCGACCTGCCACCAAGGTCTCCAATAAGCTTCGTGTGTTGCTCCAAATGAACTCCATCGACCTGCCGCTGAGGTCGAAAAACAATTTTGACAAAATCAAAACCATGCACCAAATCAAGTCAAAACAATTGACCTGCCTCTGAAGTTCATTTCACCAACAGATAGTGTCCAAAAATACAAGATCTTTTTCTTTCTTTTCCCAAAGTGATCAAGCGAACCATTGATCAAGAGGGACTCTTAGATCGTTGGCCACAAAGATGAATGGAGTCGGTGTCGAGAATACAACATAAGATCCTGAGATAAAAGCAGACATGTTGATCCGGTCACATAGACCGTATAATTGTCTTAGAGTCTGCGAATTTTAAACCATAAGCATTCAATCTTAATTTTTAGATCCACTGCGCCTAGAATTAATTTGTAGGCAATTCAAATTAGTAAAAACATAGACTTTATTCATAGAACCCAACATTATTGTAACAATTGTATTGTAATTTTTTAATGAGTTGATCTTGACTAATGAATTACACTAGTACATTTAGAATGTGTTGAACGGACCATGAAGGACTAGTTTATTTATAGGGGTCAAGTAAATAAACTAGAAATCAGTTTTTGCACGTACTCTTAATTGGTAAGATAATAAATGGGCATGTGTATTGATACTTATTGAATTGAAATAAGAGTGGTTAGATGAATAGCACCCATAGTAGCGAAGTGAATCTATAGAAGAATGATTAGCTAGAGATACAAGAACCTACAAATCAGTATCCAAAGTACGACTTCATGATAGAGCTCGGACATACAATAAGCGGATCGCGACCTGCTGATCGAGTTCGAGAGTGGTCTAGGGACCGACCTCGTCTTTAGGTCAAGAACTTGGTGAACAGGGAAGGTCATTATCCTAGTTAAGACAACAACCTGTAACGAGGAACCAAGAGTGAAGTATGGCAGTTGTAGAGAATCCCAACAAGATATCTAAAATCGTGTTCTGCTAGGAACAAAATATATTTGGATTTCTTTCTTAGTAAAATATGACTATAATGTTTGTTTATTCTTAAATAAATAGCTATACATAATACAGAGCTTTACACAAAGGGAATATGNAGAAAAAGTTTTTAAGTTTTTTAAGACTGCAAAACTAATGTACAAAACAATATTCTTCAAAAAAAACAGTGCATCAACAAAGTCGTGTGAATATTGATCACGCATTATCCACGCGGTGTCCCAGACCCACTGCATCATCCGGGATATACTTGCCCCAGAACCAGTGGCTCTTCCAGACTGTGTTCATCTCCTCGATAGGCACATTCTTGGTCTCGGGAATGAAAAAGAATACAAACGCTGTCATGAGCACGACCCAGCCGGCGAAGAAGAAGAAAAGTCCGAATTTAAGGTGGCATAGCATGGAGAGGAAGAGCTGGCCTATGATGAAGGTGAAGAACATATTTACAGAAACATTGATGGACTGCCCCGCGGACCTGGTCTCGAGCGGGTGGATCTCGCTAGGCACGAGCCAGCCAAGGGGACCCCATGACCATGCAAATGCTGCCACGTAGATGCAGATGAGGGCTAGGGCGAGGTTCCCAGTCCCCTTGGTAAAGCTCCCTGTGCCTGACACCCCGAAGACGGAGGCAACAAGCGCCCCCACACCTATCTGGCAGATGATCATCTGCACGCCGCCCTCGAGAAACAGAAGCCTGCGCCCGAACCTATCAACCGTGAAGATGGAGACGAAGGTGGCGAGCACGTTGACGAGTCCCGTGACGACTGCGGACATGAGTGACGCGTCGTCCCCAAAGCCGAGGGTCTTGAAGAGGACAGGCGCGTAGAACATGATTACGTTGATCCCCGTGAGCTGTTGGAAGAACGGGATGAGGAGCGTGATCACGAGTTGGGGACGGTACTTTGTCTCCAGGATCGTGCGGAGCGGTTGCTTAACCTTCTGGGACGCCTCACTGGCCTCCACCAAGTCCTTGTACTCGGCGTCCACGCACGGCGTGCCTCGGATCTTCTCGAGCATGGTGCGCGCGCTCTCGCGCTGGCCCCTCTCGATCAGGGAGTTTGGGGTGTCGGGGAGGAAGATTGCCCCGACGGTCATCACGAGGGCGGGGGCGCCTGCCAGGGCGAGGGAGACGCGCCACCCGTTGGAGGCCATCTTGGCGGTGCCGTAGTTGACGAGGTTGGCGGCGAAGATGCCGATGGTGATGGCCATCTGGAAGCCGATGTTAAGGGCCCCGCGAAGCTTGTGGGGGGCCATCTCGGAGAGGTAGACGGGGACGGACTGGTTGGCGTAGCCGACCCCAACGCCTAAGAGAAGGCGGCCAATGATGAGCATCTCGACGTTCAGGGCGATGCCGTTGAGGATGGCACCGAAGAGGAAGACGACCCCGCCGGTGGTCATCGAGACCTTGCGTCCGAACTTGCGAGTGGTGGCCGAGGCGAGGAAGGAGGCCACCAGGGCCGCCAGGTAGAGGGACGACGTAAAGAGGGTCAGGAGGTGATTCTCGAACTTGCAGTACTGGCTCTCGCCCCCGCCGGATTTCTTTTCCTTCTCGTACACTTCGGGGAAGAATTTCTGCAGGAACTCGTCCATTGACGTCACTCCTCCTGCAAATTCATGAAAAAAATTTAAATAAATAGATAGATTATCTGTACCTATTAAGTTTTAGGGGAAGGCTACAGTCCCGTTTCGGGATGGTTCCGTTGTTTTTTTAAGCGTAGATTATCTACACATCACTGATCTTCATGCGTATCTATCTACGTCTAAAAATAACAACGAACCATCCCGTAACGGGATAGTAGCATTCTCCTTATTTTCATATGGATTGTCTGTGAAACTAATACATAATTTGCTACCTACCTGAAATGCCAATATCATAGCCGAAAATCAGTCCACCCGTGGCTGCCACAATGCAAGTGATGATGACAAATGGAGTGACACGGCCAGCATAATCTTTCCCTCCTCCAGAGCTGCTGGCAATACCTCCGACCGCCATGATGCTTTTATATCTGTGTGTAGTAATATAAAGTCGTGTAAAATTGACGTACAAATCATGCAAGGAGTTAAGAGAAAGTAAGTAGTATGACAGCAGTCAGCAGGGAATTGAACGGACTATAATTATATCCTGCCTTCCTCTTTCCCTTGTTGGAGATTTACAGTTATGTACGGTTGTTCTGATTTGCAGCTCTCCTGTAGGGAGTATTTATATATAAACGGGTGTGGTGTGGGGTGAAAAAAAGGACGGGTCCGCATGAATATCCTTGAATTAAGGACCGGATGTGCATGTTTTTCTCTCTTTCATTAAAACAATTTTGACTTGATGTCCACTGCGTCAATATTATTATTCAATGCAAGTCCTCTTCTCTATTAGGGGCAACTTTTGCTAGATTTAGATTAGGCGCGCATCTCTAGGAATAACATTCCTACGCCACATATTCAATATTTATTTATCTATCTATATGAACATGCTGAACTTAAATGATAGAATCGCACGCTTCGTAATCTTACGTAGCGATATACCATACTTCGTAAGATAGCTTGAATAAAATTTATTAAAATTACATAGCAAATCAATAGGCTTGAAATTCCCATAAATATTTTTATTTTATTATTATGGAAACATTCTAACCCATTTATTAATTTCTCCTCATTTGATTTCATCTATTCAAAATTTATTTCATTCCAATTTCCAACCGTGGCTCCATATATGTTATTTCAAGTTATTTATTCTAAAATTAGTATGAATCCCGTGCGGTGCACATGTAAGAGATATTCATTAAATAATATTTATAAATTAAAAATATAAAATCAATATGTAATACAATTTATTTTTATTAATTTATTAAAACTATTATATGAAATTTAAATTGTGTAAAATCTTATAAAACATGCATATTTCAAATGAGTACTGTTGTCACTATTTTTACCGGAGTTAGGGGTGGGCAAAAAAATTGGATTTCCTGATCACGAACCGGACTAAAATGGTCCCGTTCCGAAAAAATAGGGTTCCAATCGGTTTTTAAAATTTTCGTACCGTTCTCGATACCGAACCGGTTGAAACAATGTCGGTATCGGTTTTTAATATTTTTTCCTGAACTGTCCCGTTTGTCCCGTTTTACTTTTTTGTACAAAAGTATTATATATATATATATATATATATATTATACATTAATTTATATTTATGTTAATATTATATTTAATTATTTTTTAACTTGTGTTTCTGTTTCGGTTTCAAATTTTAATTCAATCTTAACATGCTTTTTTTTTTAATAATGAAAGCCCAATTCACTTAACAAATAGTTGGCCCAACAAAAAATGAAAAAATTAAACAATAAACATTAACATACCCATTTAATATTTACGGGCACAAGTATAGAGTACAGAATCCCAAATTTCCATTCTCTTTTCCATCTCCATCGCTATACGATATTTAACTATAAAAAAAGCTCAACTTTATTTGTTTCTATTTCAACAGAGCTTCAACTAAAATAATCTTCCAAAATCAATCCACACTATAAACTGTAATCTCTGTTGCATGTTCTTAAAATCCAGCTCTATACGTATTTAACTATAAAACATAATTTCACCAACAATGATCCTGAAGAAAAGTAGTCGATAAGGACTTTACCCGTTTGAAGTTTGAACATTTTTTTCCTGTTTTGTCCCGGTCTCGATTGTTACCGATCCGTTTGGGACGGGGTGTCATCTCGGACCGGTTCAAAAAACTGGGACAAGTACCGAGTATAGGTCAAATCCCGGACCGTCCCGGACCGTCCCCACCCCTAACCGGAGTAGAATCGAAAGATTCGTTCCCTAGGTCGTATCGCAAGGAAGATTAGTCGGATATTCTTGCGCGTTTATTCACTCACGAAAAAGAGAACCAATTCCTAAACATTGTAGTTCAATATTTTGGGTTTTTCGATTATCAACTAAGGATACTAAAACTAGATTAAACGCAATTTAAATGGCGAACAAATTCACTAAATGATTAAAGAGCTAGGGAATCGAGGATAATTGCTTTAGGTTCTAACATAATCACCGGCAATCAATTGCTTGGTTAAAGGACTTGAATCGTTTCTCGTTCAGAGGTTCACTCTCAATAACTCTTCGTAACAAGAGAGTGAATGTAAACGATCAACTATCTATTCCAGCAACACATAGACAATACCATGACGAACAAGTCTATTCTAACGAGCCTAAATCGACCAACGTCTCCCCTATCGGTTCTACACATTGATTATCTAGGTTAGAAAGGTGATCAATCAACTAACCCTATAATGCACACAACTCGAATAGATATGAACAATCAAAATCATTCAATTATAACGAACCTAATCAATCATTCCCTATCCCTAGCGAATGGATTTTGCTACTCATATGGAATTCAACATCAAAATTCATATAAACCCAAGCCATCATCATCAACAAAGCAATTGAGAAAAAGAACTTACGATTAATATAAAGAATCCCAATGTCAAATTTAAGTGCATCCAAATCCAAAGCGAGAGAAAGGAGTTTTTCAATCTCCAAATTGAATCAAAAGAGAAAAAACATGAAAAGGAATGAGTTTCTCTAGACAAAGAACTTAAAAACAAAGTCTGAAAGTGAATTCTCAACCCTAGGATCGAAATCTGATGTTAAAAACCCGCTCCTCAAAATCCGCACCGGTAAGTCGTGAGTCGCGACTTCACTTTTTCCCTGGTGGCGAGTCGCAAAATCCTCGCGAGTCGCGCGTCGTCAAGATGTTCAATTCCTGGGGTTTGGTCGTGACATCACTCGCGAGTCGCGATTCCATCTCGCGAGTCGCGACTCGTGCTCCGGACTGCCCCTTAAGCCTCTATTTTTTTCGCGGGTCGCGACATTTTCGCGAGTCGCGACCCAAGTCGCGAGATGACTCGTGAGTCGCGAGAAACTCTGGGCACGTTTTTCTGTCCATTTTTTAGTCCTTCCTTTAGTCTTCTGGGCTCGGCAACGGGTATTCTCGATATCACGGTCTCTGCTCAAGCAGTCCCAACCTTGACCGACACAACCTACCTCCTGAAAATACAAAAACAAGGAAAAACACGAAGCAAAACACGGCAAAAAGACACACAAATAGAAACTAAGGAGAAAAATACAAAACGAACGAAATGGACCAAATAAACTACGAAAAACCTACAAATGGGGGAAAACAAAAAGAAAATAAACATGAAATAAAGACACAAAAATGAGACAAACAACTCCCCACACTAAGACCTTTGTTCGTCTTGAACAAAAAGAAAAGAAAAGAAAAGACACAAAATAAAAAAATTAATAAAACGAGCCTGGACATCTGTCGATTACAAGATAAGTCTCAACCCGTTCACCTTCAACAATGAGCATTCAAATGGCACATACGAACATTACACGACTACATGCTTGATCGCTAAACTTTAATATGACGCCCTCTCAAGTATGGGAATGTATATGTGTCCCTCACTCACTTTCTTATACAGATAAAGATATAGGTGCACTCAAATTGGTCGATAACAAGTTCAATCATAGGCTTGCCCATTGTCTAACTTCTACTCTAAACCAATCAAAATCGAAACTAGTGAATCAAAAGGTCTTTGAGGGTTGTAACGTAGGCTCTTTGGACAGTTAGGATAAATATACGCTAAGTGGCTCGAATACAACTCAAACTCCTACCCACGAATGCAAGCTCAACCGGTTGCTCAAACAAACCGGATCTTCCCCCCACACTTCTCCTAAAACCACACGTTTCACCCAACTTATTTCGTNAAGGGCAACTAGCGAATAACTGCAGAAAAAACAAGGATAAAAAAATACAAAAAAAGGCCTTAATCATATTCATAGTTCACAACCCAAATTGATTCATTTCGATGCAGACTCAAGGCAAGTTCTAATCAAACAAGAGCACGACCAATGTATTTCAAGAAAGAAATAATGCTCAAACTTCACTAGGCAAATATATGACCGTCAATCAAAGCCATTAACCAAGCACTTCATCACGCTATGCCATATAATACCAACATCACAACTCATCGAATTCATTAAACACGTCTCAACTCATCATGAATTTTCCAAGTACAGACTCCAAAACACAAAAAACCTACACTAGACCGGACCACCAAGCAAGAGAAAGAAATAAACACATCCTAAAACAAAAACTAGACCTGGTCAACCAAATAGCCACATAAAACTCCCCCACACTGAAAATCAGACAATGTCCCCATTGTCGATCCGCAGTGAAAGGAAGTTGTACCACATAATCAACTGACACAAGAAAGAAGAGAAAATACAAAAAATAAATATAAAAGGGGAAAAGAAAAAGAAAAGCTGACCACCAAGCGGGCGGTGCAGACGTCCCCGCTGGTCGCTGCTGCGAACGGATGGTCCGTGGCTCCCGGGAATCCGCCTCCGGGGTCGGCTGCCAATCAACAGGAGGCGGAAGGAGATGGTCCTCGTTGATAAGAGCCTGATCGTGCTCCATCTCCTCCGTCTTGTGTGTATCCTCGGTCTCCTGCTGAGGGCGAGACGATCCTGCTTGAGCTGTGGAAGCGGCAACATTCACCTTCTTCATATAGACGGCGTAGGCCGGGCGCTCTGTATAGGCCTCAAAGGTGTGGCGATCAAGGATTAGGCCCGAATGACTCTGCTCGTAGGAGTCAATGAACCGCATACTAGTAGGAAGGCTGTCAGACGCCTCCGGGTCAATTTTGAAGTGCAATGCCAGAGCGGTCACCATATGACCAAAGTAGGCTGCCGCTCTCTTGTTCCGAATGACAGCCCGACACTCGTCCTTAAAAATATCCAACAGATCTCGGTCCTTCCACTCGAGTATAGCCCACAGCAGGGCAAGGTCAATCTGAGTGACCTTGTTGGCTTCCTTCTTCCCGAACACACCATAGCACAAAAATTTGTGCATCACAGCGACAACACCGTCCTTGATGAGGCCATTAGCCATGCCCTGTGAGTCCCACACCGTGTCGGGAGAAAGCTCGGGCCAAAAACTAG